GCTACACTACGGAGCCTGTTCAGTTTAACCTGCCTTAGCCTAGTCTTGCCTTGTCTGTTTTCTCGGTTTCTGATCTTTGCCTGTTTTCGTGGATTTATCCCTTTAGTCTTGCCCTTTTGATTCTGTTCGCCGTTCGTTGACCTTCGCTAGCCCTAGGATTATTCTTGTGTCTTGCCCGCCATATACCTGTTTGCCATTGTTCGACCCTGCCTGTGTTTCTGACCTCTCTGCTTTAATAAAGCTTGCACATGGATCCGCATGTCTCACGTCTTGTCAGCCCCGTAACACTTATAGGGCATTAAAACTTAAGATATCAGTAGAAAAGTGTTTTAAGAACAAAAATCTGTCCCCATTGGCATAAACTGCAACAAAGATTACTGAAGTCAACAGATTTTACTAATAGACCTTCCACTCTCTGTGTAAAAATAATATAATGATGCTGCCATATTTTTAAAGTGATTTTTAGCCCCTATTCATTTGGCTCCAATCTCAGTTGAAAATGGACATTTTGACCTCCTCTACAAAATTTACAATAAATACATATATGTAAATGTTATGACATTTAATATTTTGGCTTTCTTATTCAGTTATGTATTTCTTTCACCAGGCAAGGAAAACAATCCAAATCAAAATGGGTAAGACTTTACATTAAGGGTTTATAAAGGTGTTAATTAATTACTAATAACATTCACAAACGCATTATAAATCATTGATAAGCAGTTATAAATGCATGAATAAAAGGGTGGCTTTAATGCAATACCTGCCAAATAGTGAGCCATTTTTAACTCACATGTTATAAATGAATACATTCATTCATATTTATTTCACTCAAAACCAGATTCCTGATTAATTTCATGATACATCTGAGGTGACATGGCAAACTATGTTTTTCAAGTGTTTATATGCGTAATCACTGTGCTAGTTCAAAGAATCAGTATTTGTGTTAGCATACAATACTCAAGTTACAGTAGGCTTTACCATTATATCAAAAATAATTATTGATTGTTTATTAATATGTTCATTTTTATTAACAGTACATTCAGGCATTGATTTAATGATAATTACAAAACTGATATATTAGATAAAATAGTAAATATTTAAGTGCCTTTATTTAGCTTGTATTTACCAAATATTCCCAAATAAAAAAATGTGGTTCTTCAAGTTGTGTTTACTGATATATTGCAACAACAATGAAATATATCACCAGAAATTTAAATAAATAAATAACTAAATAAATGTGTGCACGTTAATAATTAAATGATTTGTGTGTCCACTGTACATTAAGGTGCACTTTCAAATGTTATTAATGTTTGCATCTCATGAATAAATGGTTGACCGTGCACAAGGTTTACAGGTAACCTTATGTATTGGAATTTTATTTTTCATTTGAAGTTATGGTTGAAGATTGGTTATTATTAAGTTATTATTTATTTATTTTTCAAAATAAAGTCTGATAATTTCATTAATAAACGAGAAACCAGGTGTTGTAAATGAGTTATCAGTCATTAATAAGTCCTTTACATAGGGAACCTTAATGTAAAATTCTGCAAAATTCTGCAAAATTTACAATAAGAGAATATGTTTATGCAAATAAACAACATGCATATTTCAGAACACCTGAATAAAAAACCTATGATGAATAAAACTATTAAACTGTTAACATTATTAGTTTTATATAGGCTACCTGGAACGCGACAGCAACAAAAACATAAAATGTACACAGGCTGCTGAGCTCCACAAAACAAAGAAATGTGTATAAAACTGACCTGTTTGCCAGAATCCAAGAATCTGTGTCCTAGAGCAGTCTGTGACTGGAGGCGCTGCACATTATTGTGAGCGCGCCTGAGAGAGCTGTGCTTTAACTGCTGCACTTACTCAAAGCCTATAAGCTGCCCCACTCTTTCTCTCTTTCTTTTCTTTTTGTGACTTACTACTTCACTTGTTATTGATGCATTTTTTTTCTGTGGCATGAAAAAAATATTAAGAATATTGTCTTTTTTTTCTGCATACAGTAGAAACCATAAGTAGAATCATAATTCTTCAAAATATTTAGTTTTCCACTGCAGAAATAAAGTCATACATGTTTGGAAAGGTTCCATGATTTTAGATTTTCAGGTGAAGTATCCCTTTAATTCATTTTGAGCAGTTTAGTTTGTTAGTAAGTAAATAAATAAATAAATAAATAAATAAATAAATAAATAATCATAATAATCATAATCATAATAATAATATTATTATTATTATTACATATTCTGAGATGTTAACATGCAAGTATTATTTATAATTATGGACTATATATCCATGCCTCTATAACCCCTGGGGGGGTTATAGAAATTAATACTTTTATTTAGCAAGGATGCTTTAAATTGATCAGAAGTGATGATAAAGACATTTATAATGAGAAAAATGATTTCTATTTCAGATAAATGCTGTTCTTCTGAACTTTCTATTCATCAAAGAATCCTGAAAAAAATTATACTCTGCTTTTTTCAACATAATAGATAAATAATTATTAGGGCTGCACGATAAATCGCATGCGATATTCAACGCGCATCTTATCAGTAAAGCCGGTTCTTTAATCAGCGGTAAATCTCCATCACGTGCGTGCTTTCACATTGAGCAGCATTAACTACACAGAGCCGTTGTTCACTGACGAGCTGCGCCAAACCACGTTCATATTCGCGCGATTTTTTGCGCAGCTC